CGAAGGATGCATTCCACCTTCTCAAGCAAACACTGATTATCAACATGGAATGCTGCTTTCTTCACTAAAATTGACACAAATGAAAAAATAACTACAATGTTTTGTAAATTCCTACAGTTCTGCAGGACTTATATAATTACTGTCTTGCAAAGATTACAAATCAAAATTCTAGAAGAAACATATACTGCACCAACCATCGATTACCAATGCTGCATTGATGCCCCCTTCAAAGCCTCGGGGACCTTCAACAATTCTTACACCCTTTGCTGCACCCACAGCAACATATTTCCCTTCCTCTAGCTCAGGTGTATCTCTCTCTCCAAAGCCAAACTGATTTGGATACATAAGGTAGCATTCTCCTGCTCCATAACTCACAAAACGGCCCCTGGAAACAAGCATATAATCCGTAAAGGGAAAGCAATAGAAAGAAAATGGTAAAGTAACAATGATATCAGAGCTCCGAGACCGTCCGTGTCGTTATGATTTACGCTATCGGTCGATGCACGACAAGTTTTAGACTTACACTTCCCAACTTAACCATCAAATAAACAGTTTACTCCGTATGTTTCAACTTTTCCAATCGATTTTCAGACATTATCGAACACAAAGATGGTGCGTTTGGAATGAATCTTGAGTAGAAAGTTTTACTTCAATAAACAATATTTAACTTACTCCATGAAAAACACTTCTTGCATAGCCAAAATTTCCAAAAACTGCTGTAAACTGTGGTTGATCTCATCCGGGTTGTTACTGACACAACTCTTCAAATCATTCATTGTCAATTGGAAATCCTCCTTACAGGGTTTGACCTACAAAAAAAAAAAAAAAAAAAAAATTCTCCTGACAGTATACAACAGCAAAAAGTAAAAGAGCTATAAGTTCTCGATTAAAACGACATATATACTTGATGATTGCCACTAACATCAAATACATATTAGAGAGAAAAAGTCCACTCGGACACTGGTAAAATTATTAATCCATCCCCACTTACAACATAAAAACTCTTCGAGCTATTACCGAACAGCCCTGAAGAAAAACTTAATATGGATTACTCGGTATTATTAATGCAATATTAAATCATTTGACCTGAAGTAAGGTATCACTTTTTTTCTTTGTAATGAATTCAGAATTTTCAATGAAGTATTTACGCAAAATAAAGACTGAAAATTATGGATTAGATGAACTAACATGTATATGGATCTTTACGCAATCTTCATTAACAATATTTGTCGGAAGTTCATCTGGCTTCAGAAAGAATGTTGCCTGCTGCTAAAAATTCATTTCATTTTCAGAAAAAAAAAATGGATTGAAAAAAAACTTATGCCGAGTAACTTTTGGCGTTATCAGACTTCATATTTGCCAATTTCTCAGATCAAGTTCCTATGACTAGCTTCTCGTTGCAGAATTACCAAATTAAACCGTGTGCATTTCCTACATTTGCTGAATTATGAATCAAAATGAAACATGTACAAAATGATTTCTTGGAGGTCATGGTAACAGTATTCATAAAATTTGAAAACAATTGTTCCGGAACCAATTATATCCAACATTTGCATATCTTAAATTAATTATTACGAAACACCATCGAAGTTAAAACGAACATCCGAAATTCATTGTTAAGCATAGAAAGCGAAATAACGTAACGGCAAATATGCATTCATTTTGAAAGCCTAATCTAGTCTGGCCTGAAGCTACTAGTATACTCCGACTGTCCCTTCAATTACTCGTCCCAATCCACTGCCTTCTTTTGCAAGCTTTGCTACTTTCAACTAATTATCGATCGCATTACAGTACATATACCGTCATTAACATATGTAGTATAAAAAGATTCTGGAGAAGTCAAATGATAAATTTTACCTCGTCTCCACTAGCTTTTGGAAATGATAATTTTCGTAGTGAATATAAAATCGATGCACGATCATAAATCAGCGAGTCCACAGCACCAAAAAACTGCTTCTCACGTTTCAATAAAGTTTGGTAAACCGTAAGACACTTTGTTTTACGATCCACCGTAAGATAACTAGGAAAATTTCTGTTAGTACCACCAAATTTTTTTTAAAAATTAACTAAAACCTTACACACTAATCTGCAGATAAAAAAATGTAGTGATACTATTCCTGTCTCTTGCCTTTTCTCCGTTAAATTTCCAAAACCGCCCTTTCCATTCTATTCTTTTTACTACATTACAAGTGAATAGCACCTTACTTACTCCCACATGTTAACTTTAAGGCTGTTACAACCTTCCTTACAGTACAGCAGCATTTTTTCGAAGGCAATGAATTTGATATCTATAAATGGATAAAAGCTAACTGCATGAAAAGATTTCTCAGTAATTACTAAGGACTACTAAGTAAGGAAGACCACCTACTCATTTTTCGTCTGCCTTGATACTTCCTTGAAAGATGGTTCACTGTTACTTTTTGGGGGATATTCTTCCAACACACGGAAATCATAACGGTAAACCGGTATATTTTCGCGTGGAATCAATCCCCAAACATTTGTAACTACATCCAATGTTTCATATGCACGTGTCCCTGGGGGTTTTTTTTCCGCCAAACGAACTGGCAATCCACTAATCTGAAATAGTTATAGTGGTTGTGCATACAATTTTTCAAGCTTTTTCAAAAAGTTTTTACACCAAAACAAATCAAAAATATTACTCCGTAATCAAACAAGTCATCAAATCCGATATAAAAACTATTCAAACTTGGTATTCCTTTTATTCTATGATATGCCATATTGGTCAAAACTTACGGTTGCATGTCCCATTTGGACTCTGACCTTTTCGACTTCACTATAAGCCGCTGAAAAATTGAAAATTTTCAATGGAGTTATCGATTTACAACCAACACCCAACCAGTACACGAATTGTAATACGAGAACCAGTACAAGAATTCATCCCTTTAAAAATATGGCAAGTGAATTTCATTATCTTCATCAACTGCAAGATCTCTACCATTTTTCCCCTCCATTAATTGTGTGGAAGCTTCGAACTTACACTTCAACTTATCACTACCAATCTTACACACATTCATTTGACACAATTCTATATTGCAAGCAAGAAAGGAAAATCCCCCGTCCTAACAACTTAATTATTTAAATCCGATGGTATCAAT